AGGAAATGCAATAGAACTTACAAATATTTAAGTTACTTGTTATATAGTAAATCTTAAAAGAAATAATAATAAGATTACAATAACTTAAATCCTTCTTCCATCCAACTATTGAGAAATTACACTTTATACAAGTTGTACTATAAAAAATCAAGCTAAGCTTCAATAAAATATCTACAAAAATAGAAATCTTACTTAAATTACAATTTGACTTTTTGATCAAATAAATCCTCTCTTTCAATGATGCATATAATACATTCGAAAAGTGAGATTTATTTCTAATTAACTTTAAAAATATAACAAAATCTTAATTCAGCTTGCTCAATAACTCATTAACAAATAATAGACGTAATATTTGATAATGATTAAGTACAAGTGTCAAAAAGCAATGTCAATCTTAATAAGCTTTTGAGGAAGTATTGGCAACAAATAATTAAATTGTTCAACAATGTTATTATTTTCATTACATTTAATGATCATATTAGATATATAATTTATTTTTTAAGAAATAAAAAAATAATATTTTTGAAAATTTTAATATTTGGAAATTTACTAAATATCTTAATCATCCAAAATCTAAAATTGCTTAAACATAAGTCAACATACACATATATTAAAACATATATATTTTATAACTTTGATTATTGTATAATTTCAATTTTAATTATCTGATTTATATTAAATAAATCTTTTTATCTTAAATAATTAATCATAAAGTTTTAATTAAATTAATTAATCAACAACATTATTTTGACACAAGAATTATTGCTCTTTGTAGCAAGTTGAAAATTACACTAATAAAACATACATACTAATACTTTAATATATAGTAGAAAGGTTTTTTTCAACAAAGTAAACTTATACTAAGATATAATTTTTGCAAAGCCAATAAGAGACCAATACTATAGAAATGTAATATTTTATCTATATATATATATATATATATATATATATATATGATATTGTTTGCATTTAAGGTGGTTAATTAAATTGTTTTAGGATGAGCAAAAATTTGCTTCCAAATGGAAGCTTGTAGATGTTATGCATCATAAAAATAACTTGATATAATTTACACCAAAAACCTATCAATCTTGATAAACAAATATTTTAGATCCAAGTAATTTATTCTTGTATCTAGTTGGTCATGTTCTTGAAACCATTAAAAACTTGACAATACATTTATGCTTCTACTAAGAAAAAAATGCATTAAAAGAAATTTGAATTATTTCATATATATTATTATTAGTATGCAACTTAAGCAAGAAAATTGCAACCAAGTAAAAGTTGTAAAGAATTACTTTTTATATAAGCTAAATCAATGTATCGACAAAAGATATTTTTTAGAATGTATAACTATAAAAAAATATACTTAATGTCCAAATGTTTTCTAAAATGATAAAAATTATTAAAATATGATTGTATAGAAAATGGAAGTATTGTATGTTGTTGTATTATAACACAACTATTAAATAAAATAAATAAAGAAGGATTTTATTATAAAATAGCTTAATTGAAGACATAGTAGCAAATTACTTTAGAAAATATTTATAAAAATTATCAAAGTAGTAAAATCAAATTAGTATTAATATTATATTTTTATTGAAAAAAAAAAGACTTCTATTTAGTTTGTAGGACTATAAACAAGTCAAAAATAAATAATTTAACAATAATAATATTTTAGGCATCTTTAGATAAAAGTAAAAAATAACTTTTAGCAATAACTTCTTAATACAAAAGAGTGGTGTTTAGAAAGTTTATATGAAGAGAATATAAATAACATATATCACTTGGAATAAGACTTGAAACCCCATGGTTGAAATAAAATTCTCCAATCATGAATATCAACCTTGATTACTGAAGACAACTTTTGGAAATGGAAAAAACATTTGAATAAGAAAAGGAATTTAGCCTCCCATCTATTGCCTCAAGAAGTAGGTGAGTAGTGTGGCAAAATTCGTTGTCTAGACTTGAACCCCAGGGATCATTATTTGCACAAAGGAACTCATCTACATCTACAGTGCTTAAGCTAGATTTGTTTTGTGAAACACGCTACACAAGGAGAGGGAGGAAGAAAGAGAAAAACAAAACAAAATGGCTTCGGTCTAAAAATTCAGTAGAGTTTATGTATTTTTGGCCGAAATTTCAGACACTCACCCGAAGTTTGTCGTCTGGTTGCAGAAGTGTAAAGACAGAAGAACCAAACACACGGTTTTAGGTTTTGTCAGGTTATTGTTTTGCTAGTCTCGGGTGTTCGTCAGACCTCCATCGTCATAGTCATCGCTACCCACACTCGAAATGGTCGGCACCAGTAATTTCTTTTTTCTTTTTTCTTTCTCTGATGGAGAGGGTGGGCTTTGCTCCGGAGTCGTGGACTGTTCTCGCATCCCGTGGATTTCCTCCAGGACCTGCAATTGACAGCCCAGCCTGGCACTGTTTCCTGTGCCGGACTTTCTAGCGGAAGCACTGCAAACAAGCCCCTTCCAGTTGTCAATTGCTGTTTGTGAGTGTCTGGCGGATTGCTGGGGGAATTAGGGAGCTCCTCTTCGTCTTCTTCGCAAAAGCACTAATCGAGCTGCTCACGCGACGCATCCGCTTCCTCCTCATGCGGCCCCTTCCTCCTTCCCTGCCAGGACTTTGTCGCGGCCTGTGCACTAGAGTCCTGGTCATCTATGTGCTGCGTACAAGACTGCCACCCACCCGGGGTTCTGAACCTGTCCGCTCCGATGGACGATGAAATAATGCGTTGCAGTGAAGAATCCGCAACTCATTCCATCCCCCACCTGCCACAGCTAGATGTTACCAATAGAAACCAATTCGTTACCTCTTTCTCTTTTCAGCATATAAGAAAAAGTTTGAAACTCATACTACGATGTTTTACTGAAGCATCTACCTGCCTTCATGGTTAGAGTCACTCGACACTGTGGAGGTTGGTTCAAGGATTTCATGGAGAAGGAAAAGTGTTGTGTGGAGTAGAATTGATGGTTTACCATTTGATGACTACCTGTTTAAACAAAAATATGTGTATATATATATATATATATATTGAATATATTTTCAAGATGGCATGATTGATTGTATGTTCTTTTGTCTTTTGAAAATTTTTCTTGAAAAATTCGAAACAAACAAACATACATTTTGCTAAATTACAACTTGATGCAACACACTTCCCAAACAGTGCTATAAATAAATCCATGAATTTAGATTGGAGGTTAGAAGAAATTACATAAAATTTTATTTACATGTATTCTTTTAAAAATTGAAGTTATATAAAGGTTTTTATAATTTATTTTAAATATACTATATATATATATATATATATTTATGCTAGACTAATTAAATAAAGATATATGAATTTTGTGGCTTTTAATTTTTAAAGTACAACAAAACCAAAAATCACAATTATTTTTATTACTTGAATAAAAAAAAAAAAATCCTTTGTAATTAAATAGAACTTGTAACTTTTATTGGTTTATTAAAGTATTTTTATACCTAATATTTTGGCTTAAGTATTAAAATATTTTACTAAAGATAGTCAATATTTATCAACAAAATCTTAATGGTATATATGGTTTATAATTTATCATTGTATTGTGTAGAATGTAAGAAACCTATTTAACTAGTATTACTATTTTATAGTCTATAATGCTTTTAGCCATGTTTCATTTATTCTATCTTCTAAGAAATGTTGAGTTGAAGTTTAGAATTTAAGGTTTTTGTCACAAAGTCACTTTCTAATAGCTTTAGAGATGGTATTGAATTAAATATTAGATCCTTTACCAAAAAGTATTTAATAGCACTTTAGTGGTATCTTCTTTGTACTTTATTATTAATACCATTCTTGTCTTATATACATTTTGTTGTTTTATTTTGATTAAAAATCTACAATGACCTTTAAGGTACAAATTTTTCTTTGGTCTAATACAAAATATAATATTCACACATATCTCTGAATAGATTTACAATTTTAAATTACATTAGAATAATTTTATAATAATTAAACAGAAAATATTGGTCTTGTATTTAAAATATACATGAATAATTAAAGTATTTTTGATTTTTTTTTTATAAAAATAACCTATTTAGTATTTGACTTGTAGCCATTGAGATCTTGCTTTAAGAATAACATAATACTATAGTTAAGAGGAATTTATGAAGTAAAATAATTCTTTATGTATTTCTTGTAAATACTTGCTATAATCTATTGCTTGATTTATTACTTTAAAATAATTTTTATATGTATTACACTAAAACGCATTTAAATAAGATAACAAAAACTTTGTTGGGACTAAGGATCTTTTTATTAAGACTATGTTGAAATATATATATATATATATATATATATATTGGATAATTTTTTATTTCCAAATAAATAAGTAAATTATTATTATCATTATTAAGATCTTTTTAATACTTAATTTTGTAGCTAAACATTTTTTTGACACATCCTATTATGAAAATTTACACCAAAAAATCCTCTAATGATTAAATATTATATGTATGTATTTTAGTAAAAAAATTAATCTAAAGTTTTAAGAGTTTTTTTTATAATATCTTTAATTTGGAAATGTATTTTAAACCATTTTTAGTCTAAAAAAGAAAATATAAAATATTATTTACAAAATCTTAAGTTTCAAATTTTTTGATATTTATTTATTTTTATTTGAAATTATTTTTATTTTAGTTTCTATTTTTTTCTTTTATAATAGTTTGTAATAGTGCTAAGTTTTAATATTAAATTTGTGTCTTTAAGTTGTCTTGTAATCATAATAAAATGATATAATATTATATCATTTTTTTCTAATTTAATTCTATTACATTTTGAGTACTTAATCTTAAAAAATAAAAAAATAATATATATGTACATGTATATTTATTTAGCCCACTCGCATGTACTCACCATTTTGAGCCAATGCATCTTTCCATCACCAACTCTTATCACCTCTTGTGCTACCAACTTTTGTGCTACCAACTTAAGTGAGTACATTGAATGATTTCTAGTGCTACCAACTTAAGTAAGTACATTGAATGAATTATTGCAATAGTTGGAGAAACGATTGTCATCCTCCATAGAACCCAGCAACAGCAGCAGCATCCAGTTCCTCTTCATTTTGCCTGCTTAGATTCACCGCCGTGGAGTTCACAAGCGATTTCTGGTTGCGGCATTGCGAGCTGCATTTCATCGCCAGCCTGCTCAGTTTCCTGCTGCTGATGCTTGTCGCAACCCTTCTTCGTCACGTGGATCACTGCTCTAGTTTCTGAATCGCACGCAACCATGGTTTGACTTTTCATTCCTGATTCTTTCCTATCCACCATCTCTGCAGCATGGCTGAAATCTGTGGTGTCATGTGCCCAAAAGTTGAGCAGTGCGGCAGCGACCCTACCATAGCTCGTATTCACTCTGAACACATGAATTCCACACTTAGAAAAATCATCTGTTGATGTCCTTTTGTTTTGTTTTGTTTTGTTTTTTTTTGTTTTTTTTTAATTTTAAAATTTTTTCTTCATGACAATGATTTCTGACTAGTAGCAATTACATGGGTTTCTGTGCTACTGGTCAGAAATATGCGGTTCACGGCCACCTGGGGTGTAGCCTGACTAGAGCTCGGTCCCGTGCTTGCATGGAATTCGTGTCGATGTATGAGGTTGGCGACCGTCGCGCTCACTTCTTCCTCAGCTGCGGCTTGATGATCTGGGAGTGCCAATGAGAACGGATGTGTTTTTGATCGTGTTTTCACCGACGAAACTGCTCAACGAAAGGCAAAAAGTTCTGCAGTGGGCACTGTCGAATTTCGCTTTCAACATGTTTGATCGAAATCGGACCACTCGATGTTGAATCATGCGTTCTCCTTCAGCAGAAAGGGAATAATGAGAAGTTCAGATTTACAACCACTGGGAAGCCGAGTTGTATAGTTGGCACAGGTTATTTTATTTTATTTATTAAGGAGTGCATGCAGTGGTGTTAGTTTCCATTTTTCAGCTTGTTTTATGTGGGGTAGAGAAATAGCCGTAAATGTTCATCCTGAAGTGGTTTTTTCACTGCGTATGATAAGTTTTGGGTATATTACTTTCACTCCAAAAAAAAGCTCTTACATGAATATCTTTCTCAAGTGGCTAAATCAAAAGTATCTCCAAAAAACGAACGAAACAATACTGTTTTTACAATGACTATTGTTATGTGGAATTTGTCGCATGTTATTCCTCATCGTCAATTTGCTTGTGTTCGTGGTTCCGTGCTCTCTATGAAAAGCCTTAGACACAAACCCTCAATATTGCAACTCAACAAATTTTGTACTTTTCGTCTTTGGCCGTGTTTCTACTCAATTGCACGGTAGGCAAGATAGAATGGAAATAATGGGTCTCACCGGAACTATCGATTTTATGTCAGTTCTTCAGAGTTGCATTGCGTAGTTTGGGACATGTAACCAAGAGTGTGGACATGTTGGGCCTGTAACCAAGAGCTCGCAGTGAAGCTAAGCACGGAGCCGGTCATCAGAAGGAACTTGGCACTTCATCAATGGACACGCTAACTAACCCACTTGGTGCGCACGATCGGCTGCCACCCAGTTAAATTCTGCATCCCCACAACTCTGGTGTGAAATTTGAATGCAACAGATAGTAGGTGACACAAGCAGCAATGTCACATTCAACAGTGTCGCACAATCACGTCACCCGCCTCAATCAGGTACTCGAAAATGAGTCATACTCGAAAATGAGGCAGTGGTCATGGTCCAGTCCGTAAGAGGAGGGAGGGATTCCGTTTAAGTGGCCTCAAGGACTCCGCGTGGGGGTCACGGGGAGGCTCAACAAGACATCCCGTCTTCGACAGCAGAGCGGTGACATTGCCGACTTGCAGACAAATACAACGACTGCATGATTGATGAAGCTGGAAGTTCTCTTATGTAGAGCACCATCTACTGCTGACAGAGAGACTTATGGTTCTCGCAGAGTGTCTTTCGGATAGGGTTTTGGATATATGCCTTAGCCGGTCCTGTTCCGTCACCGATGAGCTGTGAGTGCTCACGACTGAGGGCGATGTTGACGATGCTCAGGTCGAGAACCAGTTCATTCAGCTTCTTCTTTCCATTGCTAGGGTTGAAGTTCTGGGGATCCCGCACGCGAACTGCGTCAACCAAGGCGAAATCTAATTTGGAGGAAATGTGCAAGCTCGAAGTTCGTTTGATGTGCGGAGGTTTGTGAAGGAAACGTGAATTCGCAGGTCCCCAAAAGATGTCGTGGTGGCGCTGAGGCGACGGACTAGGGACTAGAGGTTCTTTTATGACACAGGCGACGCTGTGGAGATCACGGTGAACCACGACAGCTGCCTGACGATGTAACGAAATGCGTACGACTGCAGCACGCAAGTATTTGGCCGAACTGTTTGTATATTGGTTCGATCCAATATCTTATTGTCAGAATGAAAAACCCATGAACTCTCTACTAGACTAAACACCACCAGTCGTTCAAATCAAGCTTTTCAACTTCCCACAGTTTCCCAACACCCCGCTCGACCAAGACTGAAAATGTTGGCTCCGGGGATTTTCGAAGGGACCGTAGCTTTGCTTGTTTGTTGGTCGATATCATCAATGTCCCAAAGCTGCTCGGGTAGTACTTGGGCACTACTCACAACATGTGGTGGGTTGGGAAGTTCAGCGATACCTGAAAAGACTACCCGTATGGTGACCTAAAACGAGCAAATCGGTCAACAGATGATTCTCACAGAAAATAATTCTTTCTGCAGAGTTAGAAGAACTGGAGGATTAACATTCAACAAGGCGGCTGAGCCACACTGGTCTGATTCACTACCTCCTAGGTTGTTTTCCATCCTGTCCGTATCCATGGCCAACGCTGGAACTAACCTAAACTGAGTTAATGCTGCCGACATTAGGTTCACCTATAAAAGATCTACGATAGCATGTCGGAACCCTAATTCTTTATTGCAATGTGGATGTGTAGAGTTTGCGATATTACCCAGAAGAGCTTCTGCAGTACCTGACAAACAGGTAGAGACCAGTCACTTCTTACAACCCTAAGGACGTGACGCTGCCAACCACAATTACGAACAAGTTAATCTATGGTGCTTCCGGTGTTGCTGAAGGCCAAATGTTCCGGACCCCTCAACTGGCGCTGTGAGATCCTTCAGCAAATCGGATGCCCGGCTGGATCAGTGGAGAGTATTCACACAACCACCCACTCCTGACATTCATCGAAGCTGCGTGATCTCGCAATGATGTAGAAGGGTTTTTCAGGCAGTCTCCAGTCCTTTGAGCTGTCTTAGATCTGTTCTATGTTTGTGGTGTTATTCGATTGCTCTGAACACGGGCATGATGGTGATGACGCGTAATAGAGCCTCACACTTCGATAACAAGACAACGAATTCCTTGTGTGTGCATGGAATCCTTCTGAGCATGCTGCCAACATCAGGTGCCATCGAGTCTGTTCATATTATAGATTACTTGTTAATGTACCCGAAGCATCGCATTATTCTACATGACTCGGAAACCCAGGACAGATTAAAACTTTGCTTTGCCTCAGATCAATACGTATATTGGGCTCTGGTGTTGCGAGTGGTAAAATGGGTTTTATTATTTCGGTCAGACTCACCACACTAGACCAGTAAGTGCCAGCTGGAAGATTGAGACATTGTCGTTTATCGGTTCGGTGTGTTAACTGATTCATGAAATTTGATAATAGCTGGTAGTCATGGCAGGTGAGGCTTCTTAATCCACATCCCTATAACTTCAATGCTCCCTTCATCTGAGCACGATTCCATGCATTGACGCCATCACCTACACCACCAGACTCACACCCCACTCATCTACCGAATCTCAAATCTTCTGAATAAAAGATTTAATGCCCGAATTTTTCCCAGTGATCAAGTCAACGTACAAAATACATGAGCTCGGATATTTACAGTGTGTCTACGCTGAAATCCCTTGGAAGGCTGTATGGGTCATGCTGCAACTCAGATCCTCTGTTTAACACAAGTGAGGAGGATTTCAGATTAACCCCCGGCTAAGAAGACCAATAATGCCGACTTCTTCCTAATAATGCAAGTAACACTCGCATTCGCGATCCATTAAATGGTAGTCACTTTCGTCAATTAATTTATTGATTACTTCAATTGGTTTAAAGGTTACTGTATCTTGAAAGTAGCATTTAAAGCAGAGTGACGATTGTGGAATGTGAGACTTTTGGGTTCTGATTTGCCTGACACTAGAGCCCCGATTGATATATCCATTGAACAGAGGCGCTAGCTTGTCACACCTCAGCGACGCATGGCGGTCAGTGTTCTGTCCTGGACAAGAGGGTCGCTGCCCAATTCATTGCGTCTTAAATGTGCTCAGTTGGAGTGCAGTAAAAGCGTACCAACAAATGCAGCTGCATTCAAGTCCCACGCTCTGCGAGTCCTTACTGCAGTTCCACACCCCGGCTAGCTTCAATGTTATGATGAACTCTCGGGTAGAATGCAGTGATAAGGTCGATCAAGGCTAGGTGCATGTTGATCTCATGAGTTGGTTCCTTGGTCCAGGTTCTCTCTCGGTTTAGAGCATTGAGCTGTGAATTTTCAGGTTATTGATTGATAAGCACTATTACAGTTGGATGTCCGATCATCGGGGTGAATGCTCGATGCAGTCAGCTCCTGGGCTGGTGTTCTCATGAGGGTTTTTTGACTCGAGCATTGTGGGACAGTGGGTGAATACGTCTAGAGTGCGTTTGTGTCTGTCTGGCTAACGGACAAGGGGTACTGGTACGAGCTTCTTGTGATCCACATCAGTAGCCAACAGGGAGAAATTTTGTAACGAGGTTACTGTTTAGCGTACCGGCAGCTGGGTTTGTCGATTGGCGAAGTCGCTGAGAGTGGGTGAGAGGGTCGCATCGACATTGGATAGTACTTGTCACGGTGGTTCCCTTTTAGACTTCTCTGAAGAACAGGTGTGGAGCTGCGCAGAGCTTCGTGAACTTCGTCAGGGAAAATTATACCTATGTTAAGAAGTTTCAGCGTGAGAATCCAGCATCGACGCTGATGAGCTCAGTGGCTCTGCGAGCGCCCAGTATACAAACCGCTTCAACTCGCACTCACAGTAGCGTTTCTCAGTCTTTGTCCAGGTAGAGTGGATTTTTTGAGACTGATTCAGCGCATCGCCATGTCTGGTTAATTCCCGAACTGGTTTGCAGACATGTAGAGCACCTGGTTAGCAACACTAAGCATGGTTGCACGTGCCCAACTAGGAGAGAGTTAAAGGTTTAGAGCCACTTGTGTGCAGAAGTCATTAATCATTTTGAGAGAAGTCGACGGATTGACAGGTTTCGAGTTATGAACATCCTCAGCCCGGAGCTTCTGGTTCCACTCATTACCGAATGGATCCAAGGTGGCCGCTTAATATTCGCAACATGCTCTGTATTGGTGGCATTGCTGAGCTCTGTTTTTCTAGTGGCACATTTCCGGACGCCTATGAATCTCCCGCCTGGTCCTAAGGCGATGCCACTTCTGGGCAACCTCTTGCAGATGGGTTCGCACCCGCACCGGACCATGACAGCCATGCACAAAAAATATGGCCATATTTTGTACATTCGCTTGGGTTGCATCCCGACAGTGGTCGTGGACAGCCCGCAGCTAATCGCTGAAATCACAAAGGAGCAAGACAATGTGTTCTCGTCGAGACCTCATATGACCTTCACCGACATTGTGGCCTACGACGCTCACGACTTCGCTATGGCACCTTATGGCCCCCACTGGCGCTACGTGCGGCGCATCTGTGTGCATGAGCTCTTGACTCCCAAGCGTCTTGAGATCACCATGAAAGAACGGATTGAGGAGTCGAGGTGTATGATCATGGCTGTGGCGGAAGCAGCTCAGAAGGGTGAGATTGTGGACATGAGGGATGTGTTCGCAGGGGTGTCGATGACGGTGATGTGTCGCATGTTGCTCGGGAGGCGGGAGTTTGCTGCAACGGGTAAGAAGGCGAAAGATTTCAAGCATCTCATTCATGAACTGTTTCGGCTCATGGGAGCCCTGAACCTCAGGGATTTTGTGCCTGCGCTCGGGTGGCTAGACTTGCAGGGATTCGAGAGAGACATGTACAAGGTACTGATTAATTGACCTTTTTATTTTTGCATGCCGAGTAATGACATCTCTGATTGATTATCTTTAAATTTGCCACCTGGACTCATCAGTTAGTTTTCTCAGCTGCGGGACGAATTCGACGAGGTTTTCGATGCTGTCATTCAAGAGCACCGAGACTTGGCGTCCGGGAAACTTCCCGGAGGAAAGCCGAATGACTTCATCAGCGTGCTGCTCGACCTCCCAGGCGAGAACGGGGCACCACACCTGGACGACAAGACTATCAAGGCTATCACCCTTGTAAGTTGGCAATGGCCGCATATTTGAGTGCGGTATCTTAACCTAAGAGCGCATTTCTTTCTGAATAGTTTCCCACACGAAGGAAGGCCACGATCTGAAATGTTGAGCAAATGCAATGTGCAGGACATGATGGCAGGAGCAACAGATACCTCAGCGGTGACAAATGAATGGGCTATGGCGGAAATCATAAGAAATACCGAGATTCAACGTAAGCTTCAAGAGGAGATAGACTCCGTGGTAGGGCTTGAGCGTAACGTACAGGAATCTGACATCAACAAGCTCCCATACCTCATGTGCGTCGTGAAAGAGACTTTCCGTCTTCACCCTGCCGGTCCCTTCGCAATCCCACGGGAAACCATGGCGGACACCAAGCTTAGTGGGTACCGAATTCCCAAGGGAACCCGGGTGCTTATTAACATATTCTCACTTGGACGAAGCTCCGAGACGTGGAAGGATCCCCTCAAATTCCAGCCGGAGAGGTGGGCAAACGAAAACCTCTCGGCGATTCACGACATGGGATTCCGGATCCTTCCCTTCGGCTATGGCAGGAGGCAATGTCCGGGGTACAACCTGGGCACCACCATGGTACTCTTGACTTTAGCCCGCCTCCTCCACGGATTCAAATGGTCCTTCCCACCCGGCGTCACGGCGGAAAACATTGACATGGAGGAGCTCTATGGGTGTACCACACCCCTGAGAACCCGGCTGCGCACCATTGCTACCCCAAGACTCGCCCCTCATTTATATTCCCAGTGAAATGGCCAGATTTTGGTGCTTTGACCACTATTTTTATGAGCTGTGCGCGTCGATTGTTGCAGCTGCGCTCTTCATATCATGAGAAGAATGCCCCAAGGTATAATTTCTTTTCATGATGTGAGGTGCTTCCAATTTAGGTGTTTCTTTCTCAATCCTCTTAATTCTTGATAAATCTGATAACTCAGGAATTTTTAGCACATCGTTGTGAATTTATTTTATGTCAACTTAGCTAACACACTGTAGTTTGCGAGCGACTGCTGTGGCATTGGTCGCATGTTCTGGCCATCGTTGGTATCCACATGGCGCGATCGATTAAATCTTTCCTTGAGAAAATAGAATGATACCAGAGTTTTTGAGATCAGTGAAGAGTTGGACATCTGGTCTCTCAAACTGTTGATAATTGTCCCTCAATGCTTGTGGATGCCATTCTGTGTTCACCGTTGTCAATTTCTCAAACTCCATCTAATCATTCGGCAACAACCATTCACATAATCACATAAACCTTCACTTTACAGCAGACAGGCATGTCATCTATCACTGTGTATTTTGAGCAATGGCGTAGTCTCCATCTCATTTGGCTCTAAAAACAAACTTGGGACAAAACTGTTCTTGCAAGAATCGACGATTGTGAGCCACAAGCTGAAGGTCACCTGCCTAAGGTTACCTGGCTCCAGAACCTGCATTCAGATGTTACTTATCGCTGGATGTAGAATTGTGCCTTTTTACAACTTGCCGATCAAATCTCAAGCTCTCTGGCAGAAAAACACTCAGTACTGGAAAATCCAAATCACAACATGCGTGTGACATGCAGTGAATTTTACAGTAATTGGCTTCCAGGTAGAACATGATCTCACATATTTAGGGTTTCTAGCTTCACCGGGGTTCTCTCAAATGGAAACTGTATCAGTCCCCTCGAAGTGTTTTGGTATTCCTGGCTTAAGCGAGGAGACCTCACAGTGGATGGATATTGTTCATGCTAGCCAAAGGGCGGTCCGTATGGGACTGTGTTGCCCTGCCGTGTCTAGTTACCGCTTCCATCTCCTATGCCTGCAGTCGCGGTTACTGTTCCCCACCGCTGGCATTTCAGTTCGTTATGGTGGTGGTAGAATTGGTTGCAATGGTGGAGGTACTTTGAAGCTCTTGAATGGGGTGGATAATGAAGTACATCGTACAATTGCTGGTCGTTTTGAGGCCCTGGGAGGCAATGGGGTGAGGCTGTTGCGGTCCGAAGTGGGGTTGGGAATTCGGCCCTCATTTCGGAGCTCCAGTAATCGAATTTGGGCGGTGGGTGGGGAGCATGTGGAGAAAGGGTTTTCCAATGCGGGCTTTGACACAGAAGAGTTTCCTTCGAGTAAGCAATTGATCTCTTTGTCGCTACATTGACATTGCTTTAGTGCACTCGTAGGGCTTAACCTTCGCAACTAGAGTCAGCCGAGTTAGGTAGCTTTTGCTATTGCTTTCTTGGAAACATTACGTGATACTGTTGTGAGTTTTCTCGGAGCTCAGAAAGGAGACAAAGTTGCGGAGTAAAGTGTTTGGAATTTGTAGTCGCGTCTTCTTGTTCGCTCATGGTGGAGAGTTGCTGCCATATTGTTGTTTAGAGTGGCGGCTTTTAGTATACAATGCGGTTCTTAATCCGAATCTTGAGATACATGTAATTCAGAAAAGGAACTTTTTGCTTTGCAAGTTCAGGTTGAGTCCTGGGGTGATCATGATAAAGAAGAAGGGTATTGCCTTTCAGGTAGTTTTACCAACGAGAATCAATCTGTAAGTTTTATTGAGGAAGACCAGGCTGGAAGCTGTCCTGTGAGAGTTGCAGTGAAGCAGAATTTTAATAAATCCGGGTCTAGTTACGAAATCTCTACAAACACAGAGAGCTGTCAGTACACCAATAAACGCACACAGCGATTCCAAGGCCGCACCAACAGTTCTAGCAGTGAAACACCAAGACCCTCCGGTGTGCATTTAGTCCATCTGGTTTAAAAGACTACTTGTTTGCTTCTTCAAATTTTCCATCTTCCGTTTACCTTGGAGCTCATTGACACTGATTGGGTAGATCGCTGTTTGAAGCGCCTCTGCAGGGCGCAGTTTCAATTGACCGCCAGTCGGAGAAACGTGATCCCAAGATGCCGAATGCCAAGCGAGCTGCTCCCTATGACCAGCAAAATGGGGACGATCGCAATCACAAGAAGAAGAAGGACTCAGCAGAGTCGGAGCTGCGTAGGTCTATTGACATGTGCTCTAAGTTTGCCGATGTCATGGGTGCTATAGAAATTTACGACAAGGTAGTTGCTGAAGGAAAAGTAGCGTTCAATCAGTACACCTACAATGTGCTCCTGTATTTATGTTCATCTGCAGCGACGGGTTCGTTAAGACCTGGAAAGAGTGGTACCATCGACAAGCAGCAGAAGAGTATGCCTCCCTCTTGGTCTTTTTTCTCAAAGCTCTTCCACCGTTCTCTACATCACATTTCTGTGAAATCCTGCCTAGGGTTTGGAGTTTCAGTCTTGGTGTGTCCTTATTTCCTGAGGTCACGGTGACCAGGATTGAGAATCTTTGTTTTATCCTTGACCATTCGTGTATCTGACTGTTAACGTAGTTTGTGCTCTAGGCAGTGTGCAAGGGAAGCAGAACAATCCTGTCAATGACAAACTTGATGACTCGAAGGGTGAGGCGCTGAATGAAACTTCTGAAGAGGTTGTGGTAACAGACGAAGAGAGGCGGTTGTGTCTTGAACGAGGCTTCGTGATCTATGAGGCTATGAAGCTCCAAGAGGTGCCTCCGAATGAAGCAACGTTCACTGCGGTTGCACGCCTTGCGGTTGCCAAGGAAGATGGGGATCTTGCTTTTGACATGGTTAAGCAAATGGCAAATGCTAAGCTTTCTCCTAGGTGAATATTCGAGCCTCAAAAAGTGAACAATTTGATACTTGGGAGATTGCAACTTTGCTTTGGTAGTGCACTTCCTGAGCGCCAGCAACATCCTACAGAATTTTGATATGGTGTATTTTGAATGTTTTTGTAATTCAGACTGAGGTCATATAGTCCTGCGCTTCACATCTACTGTAAGTTAAAGAACTTTGAGAAGGCCTTCGAAGTTGAGGAGCACATGCTAGCAGCTGGGGTTCAGGCTGAAGAAAGCGAATTGGAGGCGCTTCTACAGTTGGCAACTGATTTTGGACTTGAATACAAAGTCTATTCTCTGTTGCATCGTATTCGGACCACAGTTCGGGGGCTTTCGCCCTCGTGTGCAGGTGTGGTTCAGCAGTGGTTTGAAAGCAGCCCTGCTGCAAGTGCCGGGAAGTCCAACTGGGATAGTCTACCTAGCCCAAAGACTGTGAAAGCAGCTTATGAAAGTCGCGGAGGCGGGTGGCACGGGCTTGGATGGCTTGGACGTGGCAACTGGGAGGTTAAGTCAAGTGTATTGGATACTGGTGGTGTTTGTCAGGAATGTGGGCAGCAGCTTGTCACAATTGATATTGACCCAAACGAGACAGAAATGTTTGCCAAGTCCCTATCAGAACTGGCTTGCCAGCGAGAGGGCAAAAATAACGAGTTCAAAAAGTTTCAGGTATTCATGGAGAGATCCCAGTAGAGTTAACCGACGTTGAGGACAGAGAGCTAATTCTGGTTTTGGAATATTTTTTGTGGATTGAGTCCTCATTTGTGGATGTTGGTGAATGTTGCTGCAGGCATGGCTCAATCGCCATGGACCCTTCGATGCTATTGTGGATGGGGCTAATGTTGGGCTGTTTAATCAAAACTTCGTCGACGGAGGATTTAATTTTCATCAGGTACCTGTGTTTTTACTTATTTTATTTTTATGTCTTTCTATTTTTTTCAATCATATATTAAGTTAGCTTATCATTTATAGTTACAGCTGACGGTGGTTTTGTGATGGTTTATGATGTGTCCATTTGGCGTGAGTTGTGACAAATTTTAGTCAGCTGATTTTCTTTAACACTGTCGCAGCTGAACTCCGTGGTGAAAGGGATTAAAGAGAAGATTGGTTCGAAAAGGAATCCACTCATTTTGTTGCACCATAGACGAACCAGAGGGGGACCGGCAAATTCCCCTCACGCCATAAAAATGCTCAAAAGATGGCAGGAGGCGCATGCGATCTTTACCACACCGACAGGATCAAACGATGACTGGTATGTGCGAGGAACCCCGTTTTGTTCGCCATGGTAACCGAGTCCTCTCTTAGAAGTTGATGTCACCTCTTGGCCATTTTGATGCTGACTTTGAATTCAGCGCGTTCCTATAGCTGGAGCAAATTTTAATACGTCGCGGCCTGAGGTACATTTTCGTGTACATGTATGTCGCTTACAGGCTATAGACTGTTTGTGTCGACAGGTATTGGCTATACGCTGCAGTACAGTATAAGTGCGTTCTTGTGACTAATGACGAGATGCGGGATCACTTATTTCATTTGCTTGGCAACGACTTCTTCCCCAAGTGGAAAGAACGCCATCAGGTGGATTTGTTTAAGACTATTGAATTTTTCTTCATCTGATGTTCTTTTCTTGGTTTCATTATGTGAGCTGTCTGTAGAGTTTTATGACGTTCTGTGAGCGTCCCAAGTCTGGTGCCTTTGGTAATGGATCACATTTTAAACAGTTGCGTGATAATGGATTTGGTAATAACAGGTTCGATTTTCAATGAGCAAGGAGGGCCCAGTTTATCACATGCCGCCACCTTATTCTATATTAATTCAGGTACATGGCTTCACCTTGTGGACGGGCAGCAGTTTTTGAGGACAAAGGGCTGTTGTACCGTTATTTGTTTTGATATTTGCATGTTCAGGATTCAACTAGTCGGCGACTCTAAACGTTAAGTGATAACTGACTTCGTTGGTGGACAATAAATGTTGTAAGAAATAGCCATTTTTTTTGGGTTAGGTTTTAGCAATTATGTGGTCCCTCTGCTTTTGAGCTTAACCAGGTAGCAAACACATCCAGAGAGCAAAATGGCCGAACATTTGATGCTTGGTATCATTTATCCGTGCAGGAATCCGTGAGCGGGTCCTGGCATATTCCAAAAAGTGGCAATGATGTCTCTCAACCTGGGGAATGGTTGTGTGTGACACGACCCGGTCATGCGAAAGCCGATGACATGAAAGAAGAAAAACTCAAAGAGTAGGACTATTTACGAACCTATCGACCTTGAAAGATGCAATTCTTGCTCAAGTAGCATGCGGGAGTACAGGAGCTAAGGCACTACAGATGCAATTTCTGGCATTTATATTCAATTTGATTACCACATTCTTTATTGACTCATGATCAATTGTGGCATCGAAATTAGGAAAACACATAGAAGAGCTTTGTGGAGGATATCTGGAGTTTTTCTTCACGAAATAGAATCCCATTATGAACCATGAGAGTAAGGAAAACGGAAATTAGCATTAAGACGGTAGAAGCATTAGTTTTTCGATTTAGAATGTCGGTTTTTGTGAGGTCTTGTGCTTGAATGGTGCCAGGCCCCACCTTATCACCTCATGCAATTTACGACAGTAAATTATCTGCTTTCCCAGTGCGTGTTTTCAATTATCTATGTATCTTGCATCTGGTCGAGAACCGCAACAAATGAATGTGTCATTTGCCATCCATCATATTGTACAGAGATCATAACTTGGAAGAATACGTCGCATGTATTCTTAGCATGTACTAGATTGACAATTTCACTGCAGATGCGGATGGGCTCTCACTGTACCGCAAACAATAATAACACTTAATACTCTGAAGGACCAATCTTCCTTGCGTCAGCATCTGAAGGTTTCGGAAGCATTGGTGACGAGAAATATGTCTTGGCCAATACTCTCTGATTTTGCAACCGTTCTACTGAAGTCGTCAGTCCTGCACTGACTAAACCAAATTCGTCTCTCCAAATATAAGCATACTTGAGAAGAACCGAGTTGCTCATCACATTACAAATGATTACTTTCATTTCTCAGAAGTATATGAGCACAAAAAAAAAAGAAAAAAAAAAAAAAAAAACGAGGAAGTTGTAGGGGAAGGGAGCATACAAGTTTGAAGTTGACGTGAATGTCGTAAGCCTCAGCAAGGGACGCGATTCTTTCTCCTGTGGCTGCAATTCGATCGCTGTGGTGAACAAGGGCCACCAATAGCTGCTCCGAAGTGTTGGTAATCTTTTCGCAAGTATTGGTTATCCGCTCTCCCTGTATTTCCATGGTTGTCGTCATGTGGTTGGCGATTTTCCCACTTTGGTGAGCCATTGCTACAGATCCTAAAACCACAGCTGCTGCTACCACTACACAACCCCAAAATGCACCCGCGGGTTCGGGCACTTGAGGCAGCATGCTCATCAATCGCACCACGGGTTTCGAAAATCCATCCGTTAAAAAAATATTTTCATAGCTGCACTCCCGCACCTCAGAATCTGCAAGAGCATGCATGCCTTTCAAAAACTTGGACAGAGAATGAACACAACAATTGAAAAAAATTTATTTAGGATAGCATCCACATTATTATCCAACATTATACCAAAAATGGTGCAATATCTGGAACCATTTGACTGGTTCAGCAGAAGAAGCAGTATACGCTAAATTCTCATTCATGACAATCATTGGATGCATACAGTTTACAGTTCACACGGTAACTGAAATTTGTGTCTGAAATCTTTGCAAACCTATTTGCGTGCACAAAATTTCCCAAAAAATTTCTACTAAAATTGATCTATCACACAGGTATAATTCACAGCACACCATAAATGCAACTACAACAAACCATTTGGTTCAGATGAACGAGCAACCCATCTTACAAATAAATCCCATTGTACAACTGCTTCAATAACAAACTGAAAGAGATGGTTGACAATAAAGCATCAAACCTTGAATTGACATGGTAATTCGCAAACTAGAACGTCCAGAATTCTACGAATCACTGGTCGCCTGCCTTTGCTCGTGGTTCACACAACCGCAGCAAATATATACCAATACTACTACAAAAACGCTGATGTCGCTGTGGCCACCTTGCAAATTATTCCTACAGACCACACCAACTCTTCCTGCAACTGATGCAAACAAATGGGTCTCAGACACTCTGCACTAAATTGCTTGCCCTAACATGTGGAACTTCGCTGGGCAATTCTGGGTCTTCAGAACCAATTCTCAAATGTCGCAAAGAAAGCTACAAAATGAACATAAGAGCCAAGCTTTCGGTGACCCAGTAACCATCAAGCACAACTGATCCCCATGACAACCGCAACTCCGAGACACTGATCTCATGGTTGAAAACATCAGCCTTGACATCAACCCAAAATATATATATATATATATATATATATCCTCAATAGAAGAACCAGAAAAGAAAAGAACAATAGGAGATGGTGCGAAAGAAGAAGGGGAAACAGAGGATGGTTTGGTATTCGATCACAAGATTAATGCTTGTGTGTTTGCAAGGTTTGGAAATGTGAGTCCAACATTTGCTATGTCACCAAAACGTGGAGGATTTCATAAGATTATTGTGGCTTGTTGTTCTGTGTAAGTTATTGATTTGGTTAGGTGACATCAAAGATGTGACTTTGTCTACAATGATAAATAGTACAATATATTTTGTTAAATTAACAAAGACATTCTGAACAATATTTGGAAATAATAATTTATCCAAAATGTATAATAGGAATTACAAAATTATTATCATCTTGTATATTGTATTGTACATTTAAATTTAATAAAATCAACTTATGTTTCTCATTTACATATGTGAATTAAATCCTTATAAATTAGGATCTTAGTAATGTCTTTTGCATGCTTAAAATTTTGAGAAGATTATTTGAAAGAAGTGAACAAAGACATTACTTTGTATAAATAAGGCCTCGTATATTAATAAATTTATATTATTTTTGTCAAAAAAATTCTAAAAAAAAATGTTATTTAGATTTTTTAATATTAAAATATTATGTCTTCATTTATTAATTAATTGTTGTATAGATATTATACCAATTTTTTCTTTTATGTTTTATTAATATATTATTACTTTGATTATATATATACATACATACATACATATATAAGTCCATGTTTTTGGGCACAAAAATATATACAATATTTTCATGTTTTTAGTTTTTGTAGTAACATAATATGTGTTAGTTTTATCTACCTCATTTAATTAGAACTCAAATAATTCTACCTTTGACTATATGTTACACCTTATATTGATAGTATTCATTCTTCTAAAATGGTGGATTTTTTTTTTTAATTATTATTATTAGGATTACAAATGAAGGATGAAAAATGCTTGTAGAGAATAGAAATAATACGTTTAATACATTAAAAAAGGATGGAAATGATTCACTTTGCTTTTTATTTGGTATCATATTCATTTAAGTTATTTTATATTTTGGCATTGGTATTTTTAAGATTGACTAATGTAATTGTGTTAAATATTTTAGTTACCTTAGATGGATTATATTTACCTTTATTCTTATGTTGACATAAATTCTATTTATGTATTCATTATTTTTTTGTATATTATAGATTATTCCTCAATTATTGTTAAAATCCAAATTACTTTTGATGATACTTGAGAAAAATATGTTTTGATTGATTCTACAAATTAAAGAATATTTTTCTTGTTGACCAATTGAATGTTGCTATTTGATTCCAATTTGACTTTCAAATTTGAATGGATGCATGCCCTTATTATGAGAGGTATTTTTTGAGTTATGTTTTTTTATCAAATTACTCCTTAATAATGCTTTATTATGGCCTATTGCAAGAAAAATCATCTTCTTGTTATACTAATATGTAGCCTATGAAGAATTGAAGAATGTACATGGATCAAGAATTACAAGTAAACAAATGAGAGTAGCGTGTAATTGAGATATTGTCACGGACATACTCATGTAAGCTAGTTATTACATATACAAATAGGTAGAAGTAATTAAAAGTAGGTAAAAGTAAGTTAATTCTATACTATTTAATATGGAAGCTTCTTAGAAGCTTCATAGATGTTGCTTTGACTTCATAGTTGTCTTTAATTGACTTTTTGGATTAGAAACGTGGTCAATAAGTTGGCCATGTGCCACACATGTTGTTAGCTTGAAGATCAAGCTAACTATGTGGCCCACACGTAGAAAAACTTGCCTTGTAAGTCAAGGCATGTATCCTACAAAGTCAACACATATTGGATGTCCTATAGAACGTCGCCACGTAGCCTCTAGTTAGATAGTATATATAAAGATAAGAGTGAAGCCTTCTTCAGTCTTATCAACTCCTTTCTTGCTTCTAGTCTAGTTTCAAGGGTCTCTAGTTTTCTTGTCTTTTGGCAATAGCCATTCCCGTTTCTCTTTTAATATACATACTTCTTAATTTATATTTTGTTATCTTTCTTTGAGTGAAGGCTCATTTGTCCAAATTACTTTTTCATCGAGTTCTTGTCTTTAATAGATTGACAAGAGTACACCTACAATATCAGAGCTTTGTCTAATCTTGATTAAGAATGGATTACTCATTTTTCTTCATAAGATATAAGCATATTAGAAGTTGCAAATTACCCTCTTCTAAACTTATATTGTCTTTAGTATTTTCTTTGTTCTCAAGTCTTCTCTTCTATTTGTCTTGAGCGATATTAGACATCTTCTCTTTTCTAAGTATTATCATGGCAGAACTTGTTGAAATGAAGAGTGCAATGGTACAAATGCAAGAGCAATTGAGAGAGTTAATGCTTGCGATGCATCAACTCAATTTACCACCATAAGAACTAACAAGATTGGCAGAAAGTAATGATATAGAAATGGTTGGAGCTGCTTCAACATCTGTACCAAATCATGTCCTTTTTCCTATGGTGTAACACCCTTCTAGTATTGGAGAACCAAAAATTGTCCTATCCGAGAAGTTCGATGGTACCAGATCCAAGTTTCGAGGATTTATCAATGAAGTGCAAATTGTGATTGAACCTCAACGCCAAAGCTATCCAACTTCAGGATCGCAAGTTAGATTCATTGATACGCTTCTTTCAGGTTCAGCACTATCGTGGTTTTCATCTTTTCTTGAATGACGAGATCCAATATTAGATAATCTAGAGGCTTTTCTAGCAAAGTTTCAATCCATGTATGGAGAACATGATGCAATTCGTGTTGCAACCAATAAGATCCGTATTTTACGACAAGGCAATTGATCAGTAACGTTCTACGCTTCACAATTTTGACAACTTGCAACTGATATAAAATAAGATGATGCTGCACTTATTAGCCAATTTCTCTACAAATTACAATATGAGGTAAAAAAATTAATGCTCAACTTACTTGATCCTCAAACATTGAGTCAAGCAATTGACTTTGCTATGAAGTGCGACAATCACCTTTTTGAATTTCGATCTAAGAACCGTACAAGTGGACCTCAACGTTACTATAATTCAATGGCAACACCAACACCTCTTCAACACATACATTTGGAAGTAGAAGATATGCAAATTGATGCAGTATGTTTCAAATCTCTTATTGAGCAAGAAAAGACTCGTCATTGTCAAGAAGGATTATGTTTATATTGTGGAGAACCAAAGCACACTGCTCAACATTGTCCAAAGAAACGACGCAATTACAAAATGAGGAGTATGGCTGTAAAAGAAGACAATATGTCAAAAAACGAGTTTGTCCAGTTACAATAGGGACCATGCAGCTGGAATCTTGCACAACATCTAGTAAAGGTCTTATTCTCTCCTCAGAGCCCTCTCCTTGTTTTATATTAAATGTTATTTTAGGACCTAAATATTACAAAGCCTTTGCCTTGTTAGATTCAGGAGCCTCGGTGTGTTTCTCAAATGAAGAATTTACTAAAAGACATAGCATATCTTTAGTAATGAAAACTAAACCTATTCATGTAGAAGTCATAGATGGTCGTCCATTGTCTTCTAGAGATATTACTCACGAAACAATTCCTATAGAAGTAATAATCAATGGTCATAATAACTTTGTAGTATTTAATATCATTAGATCTCTCTCTAATCCAGTCATTTTAGGTTTATCGTGGTTAAAAAAATACAACCCTCAAATAGATTGGATTTCCCGAACTCTTACTTTCTCTAAAAGTATAACTAATAGTGTAATTAATCGAGTAGAGAGTCATAAGTCTAATTCAATTAAACCTGTATTTATAGGTGCAAAAGCTTTCTTGCATGCTGTTATGAAAGAATTACCATATATTATTTATGCCACACCTGTTTCTATTGGCAAAAAGACTTCAAGTGGCATTCCAAGCCAATATCAAGAATTTCAAGATGTATTCGAAAAAAAGAATGTGGATACACTACCGAAACATCGTTCCTATGATTGCTCAATTGACCTTTAAGAATGAGCCCAACTGCCATTCGGACCAATCTACAGTTTATCACAAAATGAGTTGATTGAACTCAAGGAGTATATTGAAGAAAATCTAGCCAAGAATTTCATACGCCATTCTAAATCTCCGGTAGGAGCTCCAATTCTATTTGTGAAGAAAAAAAGATGGATCATTGCGAATGTGTGTTGATTATGGAGGACTCAACAAGATTACTATGAAGAACAAGTATCCACTACCTTTAATATCTAGATTTCTTGATCAGCTGAATCAAGCTAAGATCTATACAAAAATAGATCTCCGGGGAGCATACAATCTAGTTTGCATCAAAGAAAGAGATGAATGGAAGACTGCGTTTTGAACAAGATATGGACATTTTGAATACAATGTCATGCCTTTTGGACTTACAAATGCACCAGCAACTTTTCAACATCTAATGAATGATATTTTTCGAGATTTTTTGGATGATTTTGTGGTTTGTTATCTAGACCACATCTTGATCTATTCTAAGAATCCAGAAGAACATGAACTTCATGTTTGTCACGTGTTACAAAAATTAAGAGATGCAGGACTCTATGCCAAGATAGAAAAGTGTGTATTCTACACTACTCAAGTCGATTTCTTAAGTTACATCATTTCAAATGATGGACTTATGATGGATCCTAAGATAGTTGAAACTATTATAGATTGGAAGATCTCAAAAATGGTAATAGATGTCCTATGTTTTTTGAGATTTGCCAACTACTATCGAATCTTCATCAAGGACTTTTCTCGAGTTGTAGCTCCACTTACACGTTTGACTTGTAAAGACAAACTCCAATGGAATCAAGAAGCGGAAGTTGCTTTTGAATCTTTGAAGACAACGTTTGTTTTTGCACCAATCTTATATCGTGTTGATTTTTCTAAAGTATTCTTTATAGAAATAGATGCATCAAACTTTGCTCTAGGTGCGGTTTGATCACAAATGGGAACAGATGACAAACTTCATCCAGTAGCCTTTCATTGAAGAAAATTCTCAACAGCAGAAATCAATTATGAGATCTATGACAAAGAACTTCTTGCAATTGTGGATTCTTTTCAAGAATAGCGTCATTATCTAGAAAGCACTTCC